CTTCTTTCTTTGCGTGAACATTTAGGCGGCGTTATGCAAATCTTCCCACATAGTGATGTAGATATGTGGGGGCGTGTTAGAACGAGGCGTTTTAGGTAGGCGTGGCTGACTCTTAACTTTTATAAAGAATATCTCTTTGGATTTGAGAATTTAGTCTTTGCAACTTTACAGATCTTCTTTATGCACCAAGAGCTTGTAACACTCCAAAGAGAAAGGAAAAAAAAGGAAATTGCATCATATGACCCCTTTAATATCTCCTGGTGGAAGTGGAGCTCAGGAGGGCGTCCAGCATGAAAAGAGACCTCGGCTGGTGCTGTCAGTTCTACAGTACTGGGGGATTGGAAGATGCCCTGTATTACTTACAGAAGCCCGTTCACATGGACTAATGTACTGGATAGACTATGGTCCATGTGTGTTCAAAGAAAAGACAGGCAGTTCTGCAAAAGCAACCATGCTCTCCCACCATATGCATGCTATATATATATACTCTCACCCAAAGGGAGGTGCTCAATGTCAACTCAACACTTCCACAATTCAAAAAAAGCTAAACTAATTTCCTCAACTTTAGAAACCCCAACTTATAACTGTATGGTCTGCCCTTCAAAACTTGATCTTGAACATTGAAATGTAATCCTCCACCCTGATGTTGTGACATGACACTTCCACTTTTCCTTCACCATTTTCCCCAGAATGACATATTTGCGACGAGTTTGTGTGAGATTTCAGGTTTTGGTGAAGTTCATTGCCTCTACGTTGTAATATAAAGTCATGACAGGTTCACTGAAAGCATATTTTTAAAACATTCCTTCATATAACTTTCGAACAATTCTTTTGAACGTTCAATTCAGCAAATGCATGGAAAGTTTCCATGTATAGCAACAATTCTGACACTGCGGCTTCAAATAACAACATAAGGCAAGAGAAAATCGAAGGTCCAAACCTTTGAGCTTGATCTGGTCTATGAGATCATTAGCGCGAGCCAGTTGGAGATGTGAGGTCGCCAGTTTGGGATCCGAAGTTACAGTTAATAATGGGGGGGTAAGCGCGAAATAACTACAGTTCCATTGCCGAACTAGGTCCTAAAGTTAGTAGACAGCCCCGAGAATTACTTGGACTTTGTGTGTGGACAGCAGTGGAAATCCCACCCTCTGCGCACGAGCATGCTCTCATTGGATGGAGACATGAAAGAAGCCCAGTGTTTAGAATCAGGAGACCAGCGAGAACAAAGCCGCGGCACCCGTTCAACTACTTTTCGCCTTCTCGTTCTGTTTAAGAACGAAAAGTGCTAGTTCGTTTTAGGGGGGGGCATTTATTTACATTTAATTTAATTTATTTTTGACGGGCATTTAACATTTATATTAGCATATTTAGTTAGTCTTGTCACTAATATATTAGTAATGATTATTATAAAGATATACTTTGCCATGTTTCCGTTTGGTGTTTTTGAATGAACGAATCATTTCGTTCACTGTTGTTTCTGTCGTGAACGACTCGCTCGTTTTAATCGAATCAGTTGAGTCAACATTCGAATGACTCGCTAATAAGATAAAAGCTGCTCAGTTCGCCACCTACTGGCGTAGGCTAAGATTTATTAGCATGATTGTTCGATTATTTGCATTTTTTAAAATCCAAAACATATAGTACTTTAAGTATTAAAATATATAAAATCCAATATCCAAAACATATAGTACTTTAAGTATTAAAATAAATAATACATAATATGGTAAAGAGATCAAATTGATGAAATGAAGGGGAAAATAAAATAATTAGGCAATAAATATATACAACTACCTAGCAACAGGAACTCATCAGTGAATTTGATTTAAAATACTTTGAGGTGGGATGAATAAAATAATTTATTGCAGTCCTACAGCCTAATATTTTATGTTCTTATATATTATTTTAACGTATATTAATAATATTGACAAATTATTCAAACTTTATTGGGTGTCACAAGAATCTTTATATGTTCTTCTGAAACTCTGCCTCTTTATGGAAAATGAGCTCTAAACGTAATTGTTATTTGGGTACAAGAAATAAACCACCAAATTATTATTATTATTATAAATAATAATAATAATGCTGTATTTAAAATGATTTTTAAGATGAAAGCCAAATTGTAATGGAATAAAATAAAACAAATATTGTATAGACAGTCTTGTATTGATTATGATGAATTAAGCTGTATTCCCAAAGATGTAAAGTATGCTGATCGTAAACTCTTCATGATTCTGATCAGCCCTGTTCCTTTTTTTTTTTTTTGCTGTTGTATCATCTTCCCATCCTCTATTCCACTGAAACCCCAGGGTACATTTGGTCATTGGACCGGACTGCAAATAATTCTCCCCTATAAGTAGGGCAGAGCCGGCCATTATTTGACAGTGGCACAGGGGTCTTTGCCAGAGAACTGGTCGTAATGGCACAATGAGATCTCGGCAGAGGGCCCAGCGGCGGCTGGGCACGAGACAGTGAATATAGTTAAATGAGGACACAGAGACCTACTTACACCAACTAGGTACTGAGAGACAGACCCCGTAAGAAAGAGAAGGATGGCATATTTGCTGCTAGAAATCCCTTGATATTTTTTAGATTATTTCATTACATTTTTAAAGCACTAGAGACAAAGTATGCGTTTTTATAGCGAGAACTAAAAATGTAGTCCCAAATTAACTAGCCTCTAGTGATAGATTAAAGTAGGACTAATTCATTCAGATTAATTTAATTAAGCCTTTTACATTTTAGTTTGATGTTTCCATAATTTACATTGTACTTACTGTTTATTGCTAGAAAATAACTATTATATACTAATTACTTTTATTTTAGTATCATTGATATACTATATTGAATTTATAACTGGATTTTGAATTACATTTTATTTTTATATTTTCTGTTTTCATTTGATTTCAATTTTAAAGATTTAGTAATTTTGTGTTTTTGTCATATTTATTCGTTTATTTTTTTTATTTTTTTTTAAGTATGTCAGTTTGTATTAAGTTTTATTTTATATGTTTATGCTTAAACTGAGAAATGAAAATGAGAAAAGTTGGCAGAAATAAAGTTTTATTTTTTTATTTAACTTGATTTTAGTCGTAGTTAATAATATTTGAGGTTTGTGGTCAGTAAGACTTGTTTTGAATGTAATATTTATACTCAGCAATCCACAATATTAAGTAGCACTGTTTTCAACATTAATAATACGTAAAATAATGTTTCTTCAGCTTTGTAACAAATAAATTACATTTTAAAATACAAAACATTTTAAGTTGATTTTTTTAAAAATAAAAAAAACTTTCAAACATTTTAAACAAGAAAAAAGAAAAAGAACTGCCTTAATCTTTTAATGGCACTCAAATTTGAAATGATTTTAACAACCATGACGGAGACAAAAGGGAGTTTTTAAATGAAATAATTTTATTATTTAATGCACTGCCTCACACGTACAGTGGATTCCTTTGCGTTATGCAATATGGGACAATTACTATGAGAATGTGATGGCGAATGGCTAGGACTAGATTTGCTGAGTAGTAATCTCATGTTTAGAGTCAAGCAGAAACACTTCCACATCTGTCAGCACAGCCGAGTGTGACCGGAGTCAGATGATGTCTGCGACTGGATCTCTACACCCATCCTCATTCCTGTGTGTTCAGCACAGCATACAAAGGCAATAACATGACATACAAAAATAAAATAAAATAAAAAAAAAACATTTGCCAGACTTCTTGCTCATACACAGATAACACAATACATTAAATCACAAAGTTACACAGCAAAAAGAAAGAAAAAAAAAACCCAGTGGGGAAAGCCACGTTAGAAAGAACAAATCATCAAAAAGAAGTGTACACCCTAAACCCTTCGTGACTCTGGGAGTCGAGGGTAAACGCTAGACAGGATGATTTCTGTTCTGTGCTCACCACTGCGGTCGAACACAGACATCCATGTGGCAGTGCAACCCCATGACCGTAGCCAGAAGACAAAAATAATCCAAAAACACTGTTCTATATTTTTCGATTTATGAGTTTGTTTTTGATGTATATGCACATGAATGTTCGTTTCTCTCTCTCAAAACATATACACTCTATTTATCAGTATATATGCCTGTTTATGGCGTACCAGGGGCACTTAAACGGAGTTATTTCACCCTGTAGCTTCTTCTAACCCTCCTGTGTCTGGGTCGAGGATGCGCTGTTGAAGGTTAAAGCCCCCGTTCCTCTGACTTCTCTTTTCTCTGAACACTTCCTGCACCCTCCTTCCTTCCAACCCTCCATCTTTTGAGTTTTTTTCCCCTGGAGACGCAGTTACAGACAGAGCAGTAAAGTGGGAGAGAGAGAGCGAGAGAGAGAGAGCGAGAGAGAGATAGAGAGTGGGGGAGTGAGTGTGCGATCAGCCGAATGCCGAGTCGACCCCCTGCGTCCCACGCCGTCTCTCAGCCCATCTCTTTCCACTGTCGGTAGAAGTCAGTGATGCTCTTCAGCTCCATGCCTGCTGCTGTCACCGCCTGGACAGCCGCCTGCAGCCAGAGCAATGGACACAGAGTTAATGCAGCTTACAAACAGACCCCACTGCAATAACACTAAGCGTTCTTACAGGGAAACATCTGGACGATCTAAATTCTGCTAGGTCTGGGTGGAGCAGCAATGCTACAATACAGCTTAGCTTTTCCATCAAGAAGCAACATTTTACAGCAGAAGTAGCAACACATGCCACTGTATTGTGCATTTTCCAAAAAAATTCATCTTTCGTAATAATATACACTACTGTTCAAATGTTTTTTTTTGTTTTTTTTTAAAGAAAGTAATACTTTTATTCAGCAAAGATATGTTAAATTGGAAAAAGAAAAAAAAAGTGATAGTAAAGACTTCTGATAGTAAAGCAATGCTAAAGATTTCTACAAAAAAATGCATAAATGCTGTTCTTTTTGACATTTAACTGCTGAAAATTCAGCTTTGTACGGAAGTTCTAAGCGGCCATGCCTTATTTTTTTTTTCCTTCTTGTTTTCTCGTTATAACGACTTATTTTCTCGTTATATCGACATAACGAGAGTTGTTTTCTCGTTATAACGACTTAATTTTCTCATTATATCGACATAACGAGAGTTGTTTTCTCGTTATAACGACTTAATTTTCTCATTATATCGACATAACGAGAGTTGTTTTCTCGTTATAACGACTTAATTTTCTCATTATATCGACATAACGAGAGTTGTTTTCTCGTTATAAATCACAGGAATAAATTATATTTTGAACTATATTAAAATAGAAGACCGCTATTTTAAATTGTAATAATATTTAACATCACTGTACTTTTGATAAAATAAATGCAGCCTTTATGAGAATAAGAGACTTCTTTAAAATACATTAAAAATTGTACTGATCCCAAACTTTTGAACGATTTACATACATACACATATACACAGATATATATATACATATGTGATCCTGGAGCACAAAAGCAGTCTTAAGTCGCTGGGGTATATTTGTAGCAATAGCCAAACATACATTGTATGGGTCAAAATGATAGATTTTTCTTTAATGCCAAATCATCATGTTCCATGAAGATATTTTGTAAATTTCCTACCGTAAATATATCGAAACTTAATTTTTGATTAGTAATATGCATTGCTAAGAACTTCATTTGGACAACTTTAATGATGCGATTTGCTGCTCAAGAAACATTCCTATTATCATCAAATGTTGAAAACTGTTGTGCTGCTTAATATTTTTGTGGAAATGGATAGATGTGTTCAGGAATCTTTCATGAATACAAAGTTCAAAAGAACAGTATTTATTTGAAATCTTCTGTAACATCATAAAGATCTTTACTGTCACTTTTAATCAATTTAAAGTAAATTTCGCCAAAAAATTATCTTATACTATGTTATAATGTTCTACAATACCATTCTATTATGATGGTAAAAGTTTATTTGCAGTCTGCTAATGCCCGGCTGACCTTCATGGAAGCTGATCTTTCAGTCAGCTCCTCTAGTGAGTGTCCTGTCAGAATGGTCACCATGCCAGCGGTGTCTTCATCTCCACTGCTCTGAGATCCCGTCAGCTGGCGACAGCTGTCCACCATCTTATACAGGTGCCTGTCAACAGGAACAATCAGAGTTGAGACAGTGTCTGCAGAAAACCCTACAGGACTTCAAGACTGCAGTCAAAATGACAAAATAGAAGTGAAGGGGATGTGGCTTACCAGGCTTCAATGTCCTGTCGTTTTAATTTGTCTCTCTCAAAGCTTCTTCCCGACTCTTTCTGGCAGCGGATGTACCTGTTGCATAATCAGTGACAATAAAAGCTCAAGCGTGAAACATTAAACCGTAGACTTTCTCAATAGCGCCGTCTCAAATTGAAATGCATGTTAGAATCAGACATCTTGTTTTACAGGTCTGCCGTCTACAGTTTGGAAGAGTTTTACAATACCAGCGTGGCTAAAACTCTCTCATGAGTTCAAAACGTACCTGTTCCCCTTCCGGAACTCTGTCTCAAGGAATCTGATTCCATCTCTCGCTCCAGAGTTCTCTTTCTTCAGCAAATCCAGACCATCAATCACTGCAAGAGATCAGAAATTCATCTCAGTCAAGCAATTTGTACAAACACATCATTCCTGGCGCACGTTCTGTACAAAAAGTCCATACTTTTCATTACTTCTGAGGTACAAACTGGAGGAGTTTAGAGCTTGAATCATTTAAAGTGCAGCGATTAAAAAGAACTAGTGTAAACATTCTGCTAGCCAATTAAAAATATTGGCCAATTAAATCACAAGATGCCATACAGATGTCAAGTATCTACGCCAAGACGATTCACAGGGCTGCTACTCTTTTTTTAAAGATGAATTTCCTTTTCCATGACTTTCCCAGTTTCTAGACTGAATAAGGATCGCTAAAAATCATTTTGAGTCAGACTGACATGCTAATAAAACATTCAGAATGATTTGTGAACCATTTTGACCAACTCAAAAAAAATTATTTGCAGGACTTTAGTTATTTTAGTATTGTTTATGCTATTATAGTATTTATTAATATTTTGAATGAGCTTATATTTTTATATATCAGCTATTTTAATTTGAGCAATTTTATGTTTTTGTCTTTTTTTATATTTCTATACAGCTTTAATTTATTTTTATTTCAGGAATTTTATTACTTCATCTTAAACATCCATTTCTCATTTTTTTGTTTTTCATCAAATATTAAAATGTAAATATTTTATTTAAACTTATACACAATAACTAGCAGTGTTATTTAAGTATTATTTATATCGTATTTATTAGCATTTGCTTTTTGTCAGTAATTTTGTTTTGTGCTTGTCATTTTTATTAGTTTTTTTTTTGTACTTCAATATAGCTTTATTTTATTTTATTTCAGTTTTAGTAATTTTAGCACTTTAATTTAAACTTACTTATTTCTAATTTGTATTCAAGTTTCAGTTTTTCCATCAAATATTTAAAATATAAATATTTCATTTCGCCTTTAATAATAATAATAATAAAAAAAGATTTTAATTGTTTTAGTTAACAATAACACTGTTAAATAGCTGACCAGCAGAGTATAAACAGATAAATATGCATTCACTATAGAAATTAATGAATTAATAAGATTCAATTAAATTGCATGACATTTCCAGACTTGAAAAACAATTTTTAAATCCCCTGCCATTTCCAGATTTCTCACAACTGTGGAAACTCTCATTAGGAGACGAGAGGAGACACGCGGGCTGACCTGTGCGAGGGATGATGATGATGAAGCAGCCGCTGGCAGCCAGCTGTCTGAGCAGCCCCAGGTGCTGGCAGAGAACCGCGGTATCTGGCACCAGATAAGGAGACATGGAGGACTGCGCTTTGGGCTGCTGCAGACTTCCCTCCAGCTGAGAGACCTCCAACTGCAGACAGAGGAAATGCTTCATTACTGCGGATACATAATTTTTTTGTTTTTCATCAAATATTAAAATGTAAATATTTTATTTAAACTTATACACAATAACTAGCAGTGTTATTTAAGTATTATTTATATCGTATTTATTAGCATTTGCTTTTTGTCAGTAATTTTGTTTTGTGCTTGTCATTTTTATTAGTTTTTTTTTGTACTTCAATATAGCTTTATTTTATTTTATTTCAGTTTTAGTAATTTTAGCACTTTAATTTAAACTTACTTATTTCTAATTTGTATTCAAGTTTCAGTTTTTCCATCAAATATTTAAAATATAAATATTTCATTTCGCCTTTAATAATAATAATAATAAAAAAAGATTTTAATTGTTTTAGTTAACAATAACACTGTTAAATAGCTGACCAGCAGAGTATAAACAGATAAATATGCATTCACTATAGAAATTAATGAATTAATAAGATTCAATTAAATTGCATGACATTTCCAGACTTGAAAAACAATTTTTAAATCCCCTGCCATTTCCAGATTTCTCACAACTGTGGAAACTCTCATTAGGAGACGAGAGGAGACACGCGGGCTGACCTGTGCGAGGGATGATGATGATGAAGCAGCCGCTGGCAGCCAGCTGTCTGAGCAGCCCCAGGTGCTGGCAGAGAACCGCGGTATCTGGCACCAGATAAGGAGACATGGAGGACTGCGCTTTGGGCTGCTGCAGACTTCCCTCCAGCTGAGAGACCTCCAACTGCAGACAGAGGAAATGCTTCATTACTGCGGATACATTTTTTATTTGGATAAATGTTGTGAGCCAGATGTGCATTAACAAAAGTTACAAATAAACCCAACAGCTGGTCTGACCTGTAGGCGCAACTGGGCCATATCTCTCATGAGTCGGTTTCTGCGAGCTTCCTCCTCCGCCTGTGGACGAGCCGAGGCAAGGTCAATATAACCTCAAAACATGACTCAGATTTTACCCTCAGTAAACACAAGGTGTGAATAAGGAGCTAAATATATTTTTGACCTTAATAAGGAAGATAAATAGAGGAGTAGTATACTGTAAACAGACAGACACATACATAAAAAGATCAGGTGGTTTGTGCATTTCTTTTTAAAAGAATACCTTAAAGCTCCCTTAAAGAGATGAATGATTAAACCCACAGATATCTTTAACCTTACTATTCTGGGAAGTGAACTACAAAAAGGGCACCTTGCTGTTTCACACATTATATTCCCACCAAAGGCAATAATATAAGAGAAAGGAAAAAGAAAGGCTGAGAGATAAATATGAAATATAAAACACAAGTGTTTGTTCTTCTATAAATCTTAAGATGGCTTTGGAGATGACATTGCTTTGCATACTGTGCCCTAACTGTATGCAAAAAATACCATGCTCCATATGTTTCTTGTCTTCAGACGTTTTCTGTTTCTTTTATACACTACCGTTTAAAAGTTGGACTTTCATTCATATTGTTACACCAAGAACCTATTTCAAATTAATGCTGTTCTGTTAAACATTATATTAAAAGAATCCTGAAAAATATACTCCAAAAAAATAAGCAGCACAACTGTTATACTACGATTCAACACACTGATAATACTAAATGTTTCTTAAGCACTAAATCAGCATATTAGAATGATTTCTGAAGGATCATGTGACACTAAAGACTGGAGTAATGATGCTGAAAATTCAGCTTTAACATCACAGGAATTAATGACATTTTAAAATATATTCAAATACAAAACAGCTATTTTAAATGGCAATACTATTTTACAATATTAGCTTAACTGTATGGTTGATCAGATAAATGCATCCTTGTTAAGCATAATACACTTTCAAAATCAATTAAAAAAAAAAAATCTTAACAAACCCAAACCTTTAAATGGTAGTGTATATAATGTCACTGTTTAAACGCACAGCACACTTGACAATAGAGGCGGATACTGTCAAACAGAAATGTTGGAGAACTTTTTAGTCATTATGTCTTACAGACCAAAATATCTGTAATGACTAAAACAGGATCAATAAAGCAGGACAAAATGGACTGATAGCCTACCGCTGCTATCCAACATTTTAAAACCCTCCACGAGTTCCGTGTTCATCTTTGGATCTGCATAAAGTTACATTTTTGTGCATTCAAAACATTGAGTTTTGCCTAAAGACTGCATGATTCATGTGCATGAACTCCTGTGCTTCCACTAACCTCACCTGAATGACAAAAGATGGGTTTCAGATTAGATCTAACACTATCTGACATTTAAAAATGATTAAAAATCTAAATTAAGAGGACAATTGGATGCGAGTGTTAAGATGTTGGCTGAATGTCAGAAACATTTTAAAACCCTCCACGAGTTCTGTGTTCATCTTTGGATCTGCATAAAGTTACATTTTTGTGCATTCAAAACATTGAGTTTTGCCTAAAGACTGCATGATTCATGTGCATGAACTCCTGTGCTTCCACTAACCTCACCTGAATGACAAAAGATGGGTTTCAGATTAGATCTAACACTATCTGACATTTAACAATGATTAAAAATCTAAATTAAGAGGACAATTGGATGCGAGTGTTAAGATGTTGGCTGAATGTCAGAAACGGAAAATTCTAAATCTAATTTTCTTACTTTGCTGTTTACACACATGCAACAAGATCTAATCAGGATATCTGTAGGACAGCACAAATGCAGACTACAACCAACAGAAACTGCTTTTGAAAATCATATAGGACTCTCAAACTCTGAGCTTATTTAACAGCAGGGACACAAAGTTCATGCTGATTGCCGTGGTCGTGCTGTAGTGGCGTCTTATGAGAGATCTGCGCCTTTCACTGCAGACTTATTCCATGAGCTTGTCATGGACTGCCAGCCATTCTTTTCATTCGCAGACCCTGACGGTTTTAATGAAATTGTACCAGAAAGAGCCGCCTCTTCACCGGCACAGCAAGGTGGCACTTCAACCATCATTTGTTCTACCCGTAAGGGCTGCATGGTTGCTTGGCAACATAAGGCTCTCAAGCAAAAGCTCACAAATGTGGTGAGGTTTTATGAAAAAAAGACTTGTTTTCTTTACTGTAGACATGTCTGTGTGGACCCTATCATTAAGATACACTTTCAGTGACTATTTCTGCAAATATTTAAGTGCTACGACTACTGAAATCCCCAATCGAGCCAATGCATCTGAACACACAAAAGAGATCAGCTGAGTTACTGTTTCAAGAGAAAAAACGTTCAGAGTGTAAATCAATACAAAGCTGTTATTGCTCCACTAATAGTTTGCTTTTATGCCTTTCTTTCATTACTATTCAATCTCATGTCTTTTACCATGCGGAACTGGGCCTTGGCCTGCTGAACCAGGTTGTCCTGCTCTGATTGGCTGATGCTGGTAAAGATGCCCGCCTCCGGGTTGAAGTGCAATACGTTGCCTTGGAGATTTGTGAGGAAGTGGCCAAAGCTGCGAATGCAGCACACACGCACCACACACTGGACAGCACCGAGAAAACAAGACATAAAAGAGGAACATGAGAGAATGCAAAAGACACTGAATGTTAATTATACTTGTGTAATGTAACGAAACCCTCTGCATTCTAATTAGCTGCAATCAAGTGCTCAATTTTCACTGAACAAACATTACTGTGAAAAATGATAGTCATGTAGGGATGAGTGAGAATCCTAAGAAATGTAAGGATTACAATTGTTTTAGTACTTTTGAAGCACCACAAAATTATTCTATTATAATATATAATTTTTTGTTTACATATACACTACCGCTTAAAATTTTTGAATCGGTAAGACTTTAATGTTTTTTTTTTTTAAATCTCTTATGCACACCGAGGCTGCATTTATTTGATAAAAGATACAATAAAAACAGCAATACTAGCGAAATATTATTACTATTTAAAATAATTGTTTTCTATTTAAATATTTATTACATGGCTCTGTGGAATACTTGATTCTGATTAGTCAATCGCACCATCCAGCGGTATGTTATTCCCAGATAACAACCGCCAAATTGAATAACACACCGCTCATCCGGGTACTACGAGTTATCTTGACCGATACTACTTATATGCTTAACGAGTCACTCCGCTATCGTTGACTGTCTGGCGCCATCTTGTGACTGAAAACCCTTAACCACAGCGTGTTACAATGGAAGACTTCAGCATTCATTTCAACATATGGTAAAAACAAATCTTTTTAGCTGTGTAATAAGCAGGATAATGTACATCTAGCCGGTTGTTATCTCAGAATAAACCCCTTCAGGCTAATACAAGACCCCTCCGCTTCAAGTTGGGGTCCTGATCACCCTGTCGGGGTTTATTCTGAGATAACAACTGGCTGGATGTACATCATCCCTTACTTAAAAGTGTAATTTATTTCTATGATGGCAAAGCTGAATTTTCAGCATCATTACTCAAGTCTTTATTGTCATATGATCCTTCAGAAATCATTCTGATGCTGATTTGATGCTCAAGAAACATTTCGTATTATTATGAATGTTGAGAACAGTTCGGCTACAAAAAAAAATTATAATCTTACTGACCCCAAACTTTTAAATAGTAGTGTATATAAGTACCATTAATTAGAGTTAAGACTCAAATGCAAGCAAAATGTAGTAAAAATCTAGTTATCAGTAATTTTTTTCTTTTCCACACAGTTTTAACTAAATGAACACAAAGAACAAAGACAGTCATACATGAAACATATGATTTAAATGTCTTTGATGACACAAACAAATTGTTGAATCAGTTGTTCAGATACATTTTTGAATTGGTAAAAATACTTAAAAAGGAAAATAGTGAAACAGCACAGCTGCCACAAAAATTCTTCCATGTGTCCTTCCTATGAGCACACAAGGAGGTAAGTGTGATGGTTACCTCATCCAGAGGGGTAAGAGGGGGTCTCTGGCTAGTGAAGTCCAGGCGTCGATGGGCTACGCTGAGGGCAGGAAGGTGACGGAGGGCCAGATCCTCTGGTAAGAGCAGCGTCTGGACCAAACCAGGCTGCTCACACTCATTCAGCAGTTCTGTTACATGCTTATTCAGACCTAAATCTGCACGAGAACCAGAGAAAAAATCTTGTTATTATTTAATCCATTAATAAAACTGTTTTTATAAACTGATATCTCTTACCTGTTTCTAACATCTTGCTGCCCTCAGGAAGCAAATTAAGCAGCACTGAGAGTCTGTTCCACAAGCTCTGAGAACTCTGTTTGGGTAGATACCAAAGACCATCATGTATACAATGTATAACAGTACCAACATGTATAACAGAAACAACATATAACAATACCTAAGCAAACAAATGATTATGCTGTTTACTCTGGTAAAATGCACAATTTCAGATTCACATGTACCTGAGCGCACATGAGGATGATATCAGTGTTCGTCCTCAGCCAATCCAAGAAGACCTTCACCACCTGGATGAGACCCTGATTGGTCAGAATCACCAGTCGCTCAGAAAGGGTTTTCTCACTGTGAAACGAATGGTTGCTGTGCTCACTGCCCTCAGAATCAGAATCTGTGTACGACAAATCAAATATTCTTAGTTTTTTAAGAATGGACTAAATATGCACTTTTTGAAGGAAATAACAGTGCTTGAAAGGCAGAGTAACAGTACAGTGTTAAGGTTTTAGGTAATTTCAGGCTTTTGGAAATGTTACATCAGAGTTTTAAACTTCAAATTTCTTAAAAATTATACACTACTGTTCAAAATTTGGGGGTTAGTAACTTTTTTTACTTTCTATTCATCAAAGCAGTGCAACTGTTTCCTGCATTGATAATAGAAAGAAACCTTAATATGTAGTATATATAAAATTAATCTTAATAATAAGAAATTTCTCATGCACCAAATCAGAATATTAGAATGATTTTTGAAGGATCATGTGACACTAAAGACTGGAGTAATTATGCTGAAAATTCATCTTTGAATCACAGGAATAAACTACATTTTAAAATACAGTAAAACAGAAATCAAGTATTTTAAATGGTCATTTAAAACAGTATTAATGTTTTTTTTTCTGTATTTTTGATCCAATAAATGCAACTTTGGGAAGCATAAGAAACTTCTTACTAGGCCCAAACTTTTTAAATGGTAGTGTAAAGCATAAAAAGTAGTTTAAAGGGATAGTTCACCTAAAAATGAAAATTTGATGTTTATCTGCTTACCCCCAGGGCATCCAAGATGTAGGTGACTTTATTTCTTCAGTAGAAGACAAACGAAGATTTTTAACTCATACCGTTGCAGTTTGTCAGTCATATAATGGGATATAAAGTGAATGGGAATCACGGCTTTGAGAATCAAAAAAACAGATCGCAGACTTTGGCGGTAATGCACTTATAAGTCTGCGATCAACCGTAAAGCAAGAAGAAGACGCGTCACGCGCCGGCTGAAGACGACGACACGAACGTGCTCAAGACAGTTCGGACATTGCAGTAAATCAGAGGTAAAAAACCATATAAATACTGTTCAGTTTCTTGCACAGATCGATCGTTTCATGTCTTTACACATCAATGTATCATCACAAGCTGCAGGGTTTAATTTGGTTTTGTTTCTGTATGTTTTTTTTAACTTTCAAAGCCGTGATTTCCATTCACTTACATTATAAGACTGACAGACTGCAACTGACAGACTGAGTTAAAAATCTTCGTTTGTGTTCTACTGAAGAAACAAAGTCACCTACATATTGGATGCCCTGGGGGTAAGCAGATAAACATAAAATTGTCATTTTTGGGTGAACTATCCCTTTAAGACTGAAATAATGTGCAAAAAAAAAAATAATCTAAATGAATTGGAAAAAAACTCAAAATCACTTTTTTGTAAGCAAGTTACCATTGTCATTGGTTCCATTAGCAATCTCTGGACTCATGCTTTGTGGTATTTCTCCAGTATGAGGCGTGGCTTCTTGGACTGGGGCAGGGTTTGATTCTGGAACGGGGTTAGTGGGAGCTGCAGGGTGGCAGGGTGGATTGCTAAAGGTGGGGGCGAGTCGAAAGCAGCGTTTGGCTTGGAATAGCTGAGAGGACATGGCCTGCAGGTCTGCAGGTTTGCTTGCGTCATTAGACACTAACGGGCCATTGGTTACTGGAGGTGTAGAGTTCTCCTCCCTAGACGGTTGCGGTTGCTCATCTTCCTCTTGTTGCTGCTGTTGTTGTGGCACATTCTCTGCATCCTCCATGTCTTCGATGTCTGAACGAGATTCCTGACTGTTCATGTCGGAGTCCGTCTCGACGTCAAACGCCGTGCCGCCCTCATCCTCCTCCGAACCACTTTCCCAGTTGCCATCCTCTGGCAGTGGTCCCCTCCGCCCTTCCCTTCCTAAAGAGTTCATCTGGACTGTAGTAACTCCCACACTGTCGACCAGACCGCTGCCTTCCTCATCCTCTTCTTCATCACTCTCAAATCCCTCGCTCAGGTCGCTCTCGTCCTCCTTGTGAGCGCAGCGTCTGCGGCGAAGCATAGAGAGCCGTGAGAACTTCCGCTTCTGTTTTTGCTTCTCCTCAGCTGATCTTTTCTCCTCCAGGCTTTTCTTTGTCCCCGCTGTCCTTCCGTTCCCCTTAGGCTCGTCTTCCTTGTTCTTCTTCTCCTCGTTCTCCTCTTCATCATCTTCTTCTAGGGAGCCGTTCTGCAGGGTTCTCTCCTCTGAGAGAGCAGCACTACCATGATCTCTGGCATCAGCGTCGTCTATGAACAAATGCATCACATTGGGTAGGTTAGTTTTAAGTGAAGTGTCACATGACGGCAAAAAGCAGAAACAAAAGCTTTTCCAAATCCTAGTGAGCTGCCTAACTAGAAAGCATTAAGGCACCATAGGTGCTTCATGACAAAAAAACATTATTGTGCTTTCTAAGATTCCAAATATTGGCAAAAATCTAAGGCAGCACTGCATATATTCTTCACAGATACAACTTCTGTGGCAAATTACAAACGTACCCAAAAGTACATTATAATCAGAAAGACAAAATTAAAAAGAGAAAAGAGAAGTACCAGTGTTATCAGTGCGCAGAGGTGGGACGCCACTCTCGCCCTCCTCCAGTTCAGCTTGCAGTCGAATGTTGACATGATTGACCAAATGGGAGAACAGAGCCAACGTGAAAGCGATGGAGGCACTGTACTGCTTTGAAGCTAGAATTGAATTACAGTTGCACAGATGAGTTAGTACTTAATTTGCAAAAAAAGTTAAATACGAACTGTGGTTTAAAAGCTTCCAACAGTTCAATAAACGGGTATTAAATTGACAGATATTTGATATATCATTTTAATATCCTGACTTTTCCAAGGACGGAATACAATTTTAAAACACCCTGATATTTCCAGGTTTTTCATTGCATAGCATATTCTCACATGAAATGTTTATTTACATTTTTTATTTTATATCTACTTGTCATTAACCAATTTTACACACACAATATATATACAGTGGGTACGGAAAGTATTCAGACCCCCTTAAATTTTTCACTCTTTGTTATATTGCAGCCATTTGCTAAAATCATTTAAGTTAATTTTTTTTCCTCATTAATGTACACACAGCACCCCATATTGACAGAAAAACACAGAATTGTTGACATTTTTGCAGATTTATTAAAAAAGAAAAACTGAAATATCACATGATCCTAAGTATTCAGACCCTTTGCTTTGTTCTACCCGTAAGGGCTGCATGGTTGCTTGGCAACATAAGGCTCTCAAGCAAAAGCTCACAAATGTGGTGAGGTTTTATGAAAAAAAGACTTGTTTTCTTTACTGTAGACATGTCTGTGTGGACCCTATCATTAAGATACACTTTCAGTGACTATTTCTGCAAATATTTAAGTGCTACGACTACTGAAATCCCCAATCGAGCCAATGCATCTGAACACACAAAAGAGATCAGCTGAGTTACTGTTTCAAGAGAAAAAAAGTTCAGAGTGTAAATCAATACAAAGCTGTTATTGCTCCACTAATAGTTTGCTTTTATGCCTTTCTTTCATTACTATTCAATCTCATGTCTTTTACCATGCGGAACTGGGCCTTGGCCTGCTGAACCAGGTTGTCCTGCTCTGATTGGCTGATGCTGGTAAAGATGCCCGCCTCCGGGTTGAAGTGCAATACGTTGCCTTGGAGATTTGTGAGGAAGTGGCCAAAGCTGCGAATGCAGCACACACGCACCACACACTGGACAGCACCGAGAAAACAAGACATAAAAGAGGAACATGAGAGAATGCAAAAGACACTGAATGTTAATTATACTTGTGTAATGTAACGAAACCCTCTGCATTCTAATTAGCTGCAATCAAGTGCTCAATTTTCACTGAACAAACATTACTGTGAAAAATGATAGTCATGTAGGGATGAGTGAGAATCCTAAGAAATGTAAGGATTACAATTGTTTTAGTACTTTTGAAGCACCACAAAATTATTCTATTATAATATATAATTTTTTGTTTACATATACACTACCGCTTAAAATTTTTGAATCGGTAAGACTTTAATGTTTTTTTTTTTTTAAATCTCTTATGCACACCGAGGCTGCATTTATTTGATAAAAGATACAATAAAAACAGCAATACTAGCGAAATATTATTACTATTTAAAATAATTGTTTTCTATTTAAATATTTATTACATGGCTCTGTGGAATACTTGATTCTGATTAGTCAATCGCACCATCCAGCGGTATGTTATTCCCAGATAACAACCGCCAAATTGAATAACACACCGCTCATCCGGGTACTACGAGTTATCTTGACCGATACTACTTATATGCTTAACGAGTCACTCCGCTATCGTTGACTGTCTGGCGCCATCTTGTGACTGAAAACCCTTAACCACAGCGTGTTACAATGGAAGACTTCAGCATTCATTTCAACATATGGTAAAAACAAATCTTTTTAGCTGTGTAATAAGCAGGATAATGTACATCTAGCCGGTTGTTATCTCAGAATAAACCCCTTCAGGCTAATACAAGACCCCTCCGCTTCAAGTTGGGGTCCTGATCACCCTGTCGGGGTTTATTCTGAGATAACAACTGGCTGGATGTACATCATCCCTTACTTAAAAGTGTAATTTATTTCTATGATGGCAAAGCTGAATTTTCAGCATCATTACTCAAGTCTTTATTGTCATATGATCCTTCAGAAATCATTCTGATGCTGATTTGATGCTCAAGAAACATTTCGTATTATTATGAATGTTGAGAACAGTTCGGCTACAAAAAAAAATTATAATCTTACTGACCCCAAACTTTTAAATAGTAGTGTATATAAGTACCATTAATTAGAGTTAAGACTCAAATGCAAGCAAAATGTAGTAAAAATCTAGTTATCAGTAATTTTTTTCTTTTCCACACAGTTTTAACTAAATGAACACAAAGAACAAAGACAGTCATACATGAAACATATGATTTAAATGTCTTTGATGACACAAACAAATTGTTGAATCAGTTGTTCAGATACATTTTTGAATTGGTAAAAATACTTAAAAAGGAAAATAGTGAAACAGCACAGCTGCCACAAAAATTCTTCCATGTGTCCTTCCTATGAGCACACAAGGAGGTAAGTGTGATGGTTACCTCATCCAGAGGGGTAAGAGGGGGTCTCTGGCTAGTGAAGTCCAGGCGTCGATGGGCTACGCTGAGGGCAGGAAGGTGACGGAGGGCCAGATCCTCTGGTAAGAGCAGCGTCTGGACCAAACCAGGCTGCTCACACTCATTCAGCAGTTCTGTTACATGCTTATTCAGACCTAAATCTGCAAGAGAACCAGAGAAAAAATCTTGTTATTATTTAATCCATTAATAAAACTGTTTTTATAAACTGATATCTCTTACCTGTTTCTAACATCTTGCTGCCCTCAGGAAGCAAATTAAGCAGCACTGAGAGTCTGTTCCACAAGCTCTGAGAACTCTGTTTGGGTAGATACCAAAGACCATCATGTATACAATGTATAACAGTACCAACATGTATAACAGAAACAACATATAACAATACCTAAGCAAACAAATGATTATGCTGTTTACTCTGGTAAAATGCACAATTTCAGATTCACATGTACCTGAGCGCACATGAGGATGATATCAGTGTTCGTCCTCAGCCAATCCAAGAAGACCTTCACCACCTGGATGAGACCCTGATTGGTCAGAATCACCAGTCGCTCAGAAAGGGTTTTCTCACTGTGAAACGAATGGTTGCTGTGCTCACTGCCCTCAGAATCAGAATCTGTGTACGACAAATCAAATATTCTTAGTTTTTTAAGAATGGACTAAATATGCACTTTTTGAAGGAAATAACAGTGCTTGAAAGGCAGAGTAACAGTACAGTGTTAAGGTTTTAGGTAATTTCAGGCTTTTGGAAATGTTACATCAGAGTTTTAAACTTCAAATTTCTTAAAAATTATACACTACTGTTCAAAATTTGGGGGTTAGTAACTTTTTTTACTTTCTATTCATCAAAGCAGTGCAACTGTTTCCTGCATTGATAATAGAAAGAAACCTTAATATGTAGTATATATAAAATTAATCTTAATAATAAGAAATTTCTCATGCACCAAATCAGAATATTAGAATGATTTTTGAAGGATCATGTGACACTAAAGACTGGAGTAATTATGCTGAAAATTCATCTTTGAATCACAGGAATAAACTACATTTTAAAATACAGTAAAACAGAAATCAAGTATTTTAAATGGTCATTTAAAACAGTATTAATGTTTTTTTTTCTGTATTTTTGATCCAATAAATGCAACTTTGGGAAGCATAAGAAACTTCTTACTAGGCCCAAACTTTTTAAATGGTAGTGTAAAGCATAAAAAGTAGTTTAAAGGGATAGTTCACCTAAAAATGAAAATTTGATGTTTATCTGCTTACCCCCAGGGCATCCAAGATGTAGGTGACTTTATTTCTTCAGTAGAAGACAAACGAAGATTTTTAACTCATACCGTTGCAGTTTGTCAGTCATATAATGGGATATAAAGTGAATGGGAATCACGGCTTTGAGAATCAAAAAAACAGATCGCAGACTTTGGCGGTAATGCACTTATAAGTCTGCGATCAACCGTAAAGCAAGAAGAAGACGCGTCACGCGCCGGCTGAAGACGACGACACGAACGTGCTCAAGACAGTTCGGACATTGCAGTAAATCAGAGGTAAAAAACCATATAAATACTGTTCAGTTTCTTGCACAGATCGATCGTTTCATGTCTTTACACATCAATGTATCATCACAAGCTGCAGGGTTTAATTTGGTTTTGTTTCTGTATGTTTTTTTTTACTTTCAAAGCCGTGATTCCCATTCACTTACATTATAAGACTGACAGACTGCAACTGACAGACTGAGTTAAAAATCTTCGTTTGTGTTCTACTGAAGAAACAAAGTCACCTACATATTGGATGCCCTGGGGGTAAGCAGATAAACATAAAATTGTCATTTTTGGGTGAACTATCCCTTTAAGACTGAAATAATGTGCAAAAAAAAAAATAATCTAAATGAATTGGAAAAAAACTCAAAATCACTTTTTTGTAAGCAAGTTACCATTGTCATTGGTTCCATTAGCAATCTCTGGACTCATGCTTTGTGGTATTTCTCCAGTATGAGGCGTGGCTTCTTGGACTGGGGCAGGGTTTGATTCTGGAACGGGGTTAGTGGGAGCTGCAGGGTGGAGCAGTACATTGCTAAAGGTGGGGGCGAGTCGAAAGCAGCGTTTGGCTTGGAATAGCTGAGAGGACATGGCCTGCAGGTTACTGCTGATGCTTGCGTCATTAGACACTAACGGGCCATTGGTTACTGGAGGTGTAGAGTTCTCCTCCCTAGACGGTTGCGGTTGCTCATCTTCCTCTTGTTGCTGCTGTTGTTGTGGCACATTCTCTGCATCCTCCATGTCTTCGATGTCTGAACGAGATTCCTGACTGTTCATGTCGGAGTCCGTCTCGACGTCAAACGCCGTGCCGCCCTCATCCTCCTCCGAACCACTTTCCCAGTTGCCATCCTCTGGCAGTGGTCCCCTCCGCCCTTCCCTTCCTAAAGAGTTCATCTGGACTGTAGTAACTCCCACACTGTCGACCAGACCGCTGCCTTCCTCATCCTCTTCTTCATCACTCTCAAATCCCTCGCTCAGGTCGCTCTCGTCCTCCTTGTGAGCGCAGCGTCTGCGGCGAAGCATAGAGAGCCGTGAGAACTTCCGCTTCTGTTTTTGCTTCTCCTCAGCTGATCTTTTCTCCTCCAGGCTTTTCTTTGTCCCCGCTGTCCTTCCGTTCCCCTTAGGCTCGTCTTCCTTGTTCTTCTTCTCCTCGTTCTCCTCTTCATCATCTTCTTCTAGGGAGCCGTTCTGCAGGGTTCTCTCCTCTGAGAGAGCAGCACTACCATGATCTCTGGCATCAGCGTCGTCTATGAACAAATGCATCACATTGGGTAGGTTAGTTTTAAGTGAAGTGTCACATGACGGCAAAAAGCAGAAACAAAAGCTTTTCCAAATCCTAGTGAGCTGCCTAACTAGAAAGCATTAAGGCACCATAGGTGCTTCATGACAAAAAAACATTATTGTGCTTTCTAAGATTCCAAATATTGGCAAAAATCTAAGGCAGCACTGCATATATTCTTCACAGATACAACTTCTGTGGCAAATTACAAACGTACCCAAAAGTACATTATAATCAGAAAGACAAAATTAAAAAGAGAAAAGAGAAGTACCAGTGTTATCAGTGCGCAGAGGTGGGACGCCACTCTCGCCCTCCTCCAGTTCAGCTTGCAGTCGAATGTTGACATGATTGACCAAATGGGAGAACAGAGCCAACGTGAAAGCGATGGAGGCACTGTACTGCTTTGAAGCTAGAATTGAATTACAGTTGCACAGATGAGTTAGTACTTAATTTGCAAAAAAAGTTAAATACGAACTGTGGTTTAAAAGCTTCCAACAGTTCAATAAACGGGTATTAAATTGACAGATATTTGATATATCATTTTAATATCCTGACTTTTCCAAGGACGGAATACAATTTTAAAACACCCTGATATTTCCAGGTTTTTCATTGCATAGCATATTCTCACATGAAATGTTTATTTACATTTTTTATTTTATATCTACTTGTCATTAACCAATTTTACACACACAATATATATACAGTGGGTACGGAAAGTATTCAGACCCCCTTAAATTTTTCACTCTTTGTTATAATAGTCAACTAAAACAAACTATTAAATTTTTTTTATTAATTAAAAATAAAGTTGAAATAAAATATAAAAAAAAATAGATGAAACACTAATGAAAATTAGAAATGGTGCCCTGAAATAAAAATAGAGTACTAAAATTATTAAAACTGAAATAAAAATTCAAGTTAAATATAAAAAAAACTAACTAATACAAATGACAAAAGCACATAACAAAACTAAATATTTATCTAAAATTAAAACATAAAAATTAAAATCTAATTCAAAATATGAATAAATACTATAAAAGTAATTATATGTCATAGTTGAAAAACAGTGGTCGTCCACTAGTCTTAAGTAAGTTCCCGACAACATGTTCCAAACCAAAGGTATTAAGTATATTTATCACTTGTCCTTTACAGTGTTGTATCTGGTCAGGATGCAGTATTTCATTTAATTTCATGAAACCAGCACTATTTTTAGATTGGTGAAGCAGTACCTGTCTGCTTATTCATTGCAACATAATTAACGACAAGATGACTTTGCGTAAAATGAGCAGCAGATGTTGTGATCAATTCTTTCAGTCCATACTTACCCCCTCTCTTCAAACTGTGCACCACCATAAGACAAGTCACCACCATCTTGAATATGAGGCTGTCAGGAAGCACAGAACAGACCGAGTCGTGCTCTTCCTCCTCCTCACTGGCTGACTGGCTGCCATGAGGAGGAAGTGGGAGGTAGAACAGCACCAGGTTAAAGTCTTCCAGCACAGACTGGCACAGTGATGTCAGCTCCGTCTCCATCAGACTAAAGAGGTGACAGGATATTAGTCAAATTGATTTGATTCTCAAATTATATCTTTCAGGTGAGGAATGATTTTTAATAACATTAAACAGGTTCAACTGGAGGTGATGCTCTCACCTGTTCTTGGGCTGCAGCAGGCTCTGCAAATACATGAAGCTCACCAGCAGTCTTTTGATGTCTTTTGACCTGAAGCAAGAATAACTTAATGTGAGTGCTACTTGCTCATGCTAGTCTACACTATGACGCTACAACGCTTTATGGTATGGTTTCCAGAAGGGATGTGCCCGAATCCGAATACTGTGTTCGGAAAGGAAATTACGTGAACTACAGAACCCCTAAGGGAATAAATACGGAATATAAGGGAACATAAATAATAATAAAAATATATTTCAATGCTTTCTCTCGCAATTATATTGTTAGGTAGTTATACTATATTTAAATCGCGGGCATCAGGAAGCCGCTATTAATATGCGGGGCAATGAAATTGTTTTTGAATGCGCGCTTGCTTTTTACTTTCATTTTCGAGATTCATGATCACACGTACTCTGGGTATACTACGGCGCGACAGTACTTATCACACATTTTATAAGATTAGATGTTTGTCAGTGGTGCTCAGGATCTGGAAATCATTCGCTATCGTCCTATCACTCATCTCTCCTTACTCTGTTTAAGTGGTAAGTGAAATTTTATGTACTGTAATGTAACAGGCTACCAACCGGGCCAACCATGTCCCTTTAGTGTCTCCATAAAATGTGTTATTCGTTTTCCGTGCCCTTCCGACTACGGATTCACTATTCGGGCACATCCCTTGTTTCCAGGTTACTGAGTGCTTTATAGGGTACTGTTAGGTGTTGTTTACTGATATTCCGGTCTCTAGATAAGGTTCAGGGGCTATATTACAAAAACTTCTTGACTTAAGTTTTGAAAAACCTTGATTTCTTAAATGCAAACTACAATGGTTACTATACAGATAGGACAGGATTATGCTTTAGGATGAGTATTAATATCAAGATTATGAATTTTGTTGTTCACCAGGCAAAAATCACATGTCTGACTAATTAGATAAGCAATAGCACACATATCCTTAAAAAGCTGCATAATTTAAGTAATCATTTATGTCCTCATCACAAACAATGCAGGACAAGTAATGCGTTGATGATTAATACTTGGGGATGGGTTTAAACTATCAACATAAATAATAATAAAAATATATTTCAATGCTTTCTCTCGCAATTATATTGTTAGGTAGTTATACTATATTTAAATCGCGGGCATCAGGAAGCCGCTATTAATATGCGGGGCAATGAAATTGTTTTTGAATGCGCGCTTGCTTTTTACTTTAATTTTCGAGATTCATGATCACACGTACTCTGGGTATACTACGGCGCGACAGTACTTATCACACATTTTATAAGATTAGATGTTTGTCAGTGGTGCTCAGGATCTGGAAATCATTCGCTATCGTCCTATCACTCATCTCTCCTTACTCTGTTTAAGTGGTAAGTGAAATTTTATGTACTGTAATGTAACAGGCTACCAACCGGGCCAACCATGTCCCTTTAGTGTCTCCATAAAATGTGTTATTCGTTTTCCGTGCCCTTCCGACTACGGATTCACTATTCGGGCACATCCCTTGTTTCCAGGTTACTGAGTGCTTTATAGGGTACTGTTAGGTGTTGTTTACTGATATTCCGGTCTCTAGATAAGGTTCAGGGGCTATATTACAAAAACTTCTTGACTTAAGTTTTGAAAAACCTTGATTTCTTAAATGCAAACTACAATGGTTACTATACAGATAGGACAGGATTATGCTTTAGGATGAGTATTAATATCAAGATTATGAATTTTGTTGTTCACCAGGCAAAAATCACATGTCTGACTAATTAGATAAGCAATAGCACACATATCCTTAAAAAGCTGCATAATTTAAGTAATCATTTATGTCCTCATCACAAACAATGCAGGACAAGTAATGCGTTGATGATTAATACTTGGGGATGGGTTTAAACTATGAGTAATAATAGTAGTAATGATTGTCTTAGATAGCACCAGTAATAAAATTTATAATAATAATAAAATAAATTTAACTTTTCTTTGGTTTCAAAAACCAACGAGTCATTAAAAGTTAATTTGAATTAAAATGTAATCCTATTTACTGTACTAATGCATTTAGTCTAAATGTGCCACAAAAAACTGTTGGTCTTGTTGTTTCTTGTCCTCTGAAACAACCAATTTCACTCAAAAAACATCAGACTATGAAAGCTAAATGGCAGAGAAGAAAAACATAATATTGATAGGTTTAGAGCATTACTTAAAATCACTTGAGCACTTCAAGCACAATTTAGATCAGTGTTTCTGTACTAGGCGTCTGCTGGATGACTTCTTGAATTCAATTAAATTATCTTAAAATAAATCTAATTAAAATGTTAAAAAATATAAAATCAATTCAAATCAAACCAAATATTTTTTTAATGTTCTCCCTCAGCAACTATTATTTTATTAACACTCAGTTCTTGAAACTTCTGCAATCAAAAAAATAATTGTAGTCTATTTACTATATTGATACTCACAGTTTCTGGTGGTAGAACAAATTTGAAAGCAAGCAGCTTTTTCAATTACAGCAGAAATACCAGTAGAAATATTATAGCCTATATGAATACCGTGGGCCTTTGAATACTGTGTTGAACGATGGAAAGCAAATCAAAAGGGTTGAGAACCTGATTTAGATAACAGGAACACACTGAACATATTTTCAAAAACACTCCTCCATCCTGTCTTTTATTTGTATATGAAAGAGAGGGAACACACCTCTGGCGTGATGGTGACAGTTTTTTCATCTCCTGTTTCTTCACCTGGTGGTACATCTTGGCTGCCTTGTCAAACAGACGCTTTAAATTCCCATAAGCGCCATCGAAGGGAGTCTCCGACTGAATACTATTCAACAGGAAAAAACAGTGTGTCATTGTTCATGCAGGGTTATCAGATTCTTCGAACACTAATCATACTAAACTGTGATGCTACATGTCAAAAGGGAAAGAAAAGGATTGTCATTAAACCGCTTTGTAATGCTGCTGTATCCATTCATTGTTGATTTAAATATGATGCTGTTCTCAGATGCCTTACCAGCGCAAGTAGTAGTAAGTAGCCTCCACGTTATAAAATTTACTTCCAGCAAGCGTACCCAGCTGATTATACGGCATGCCTGTAAAAGACAAAACAAATGATTTCCCCAATGCAATAACATGAAAGTCAAATAAAAAAAATAACAACAAGGAATCCATTAAATGTTAATTAAAATTCACAGTTTAACAGACAAAATCATAAAAGAGCATGCTCTCCAGTGCCAGGAAAAGGTGTTGTATGGAGGATGTGAGAAGCAAGGGCTCGCTCACCGACGTCAGGTGCGACAGACAGGGCCTGGTGATAAAAGCGCTCCGCCAGCTGCTCTGCCTCCACTCCCGCCAGTTCATTTTGGTACCGCGCTTCATAAACATTAAACAGCTTGATTTCAGATTATGTGAACATAAAATCACACTGCAAGACAGAGATTTGAGGGGCAGTTTTTATTAAATATCAAGTGAGAACACACTTACCAAGATCTCCCAAGTACACAAGGCATCTGTGACACGCCATCTGGGCCCACTCCATCTCTTTAGGGGTGGCTGAGACTGGTTTCTTACGACCTGCAGTCATTAATCAGATAGATTATCTAATGTACGGTTCATTCAGCTAATGCTGAAAGTGGGTAGTCAGACAGTATATATTGTGGAATAGTAGAGATTTTGCTACACAGTATTCCTAAATTTTTTGACCAATGAACTTCTGTAACATTTACATGACTTATACAATCAATTATAATGACTTGATACCAATTTTTCATTATCCTTAAATAGATTACATTCACAAAAATTGAATTTCTAGACAATTATACATTTACAAAAAAATTAATTTACATGATTTTTTTTCAGGTCTGATTAAATAAAAATGAAATAAAATTGACATTTAAGAAAAAAAAACTAAAAAGTATTTTATATTTATTTATTTATTATTAACATTACTTTATATTAATATATTAAGTAATCTTAATATAATGAATAATAATTCATTTATATATGACTATATTTTCATTTGAATAAGAAATATTTAAGATTGATTTTAAATTCCCTCTGTTTTCCATGACTGTAGGAACGCTGCCTCTAATATGCATATGAAAGCATGTCTCACCGATGAGTGGGTCAGTGACGTGTGTCCAGTCGATGCAGTCCTGTAACTCCAGCTGATAGTGTGACTGGATGTAGAGCAGCAGGTGTTGAAAGAAACCCACCCCAGCGATCAGATGGGTCCTGTAGGCGCACTCCAGAGCACTGCGGCTGTGAATATGCTGCAAAGAGAGGCACGATTTCAGCCTGATGACAGATACAACAGCAAATAAGTGTACTTTAAATTATGGAATATGCACAGTGTTACATGACAGTACCTTCTTGTTGGTCTTGATGACCTGAATGACCTCATAGTAGACCTTCCTCCACAGCAGCTCTTCTGCCTTGCGTCCATAGTCCACAGGGTGCAGGAACATCAGCTTTACACAAAGTTCCCGCAATCTGGTTAAAAAAATTTAATAAATAAAATAAGAAGCCTTGATATGCAACTATATGGGAACGTTAATGAGTTGTTGTGTCATAAACAGACGTGACAACGATAAAGGCTCTCTCTTCCATGTAAATACAACATAATCAGACCAATTATACTGTATTGTGCCTGGTCGGGTTGCAGAGAGAATAAACTTGTGCTTACTTGTTCCTCAAACTGATATTCTCAGGTTTGAAGACCTCCCTATATGATGACTTGCCGCTGATTATAATATCCAACTTATGCACCGTTTCCACAACAGCCCTACATAAAACACAAAAAAATGAGGAAAACACTGTTATATACACCACTTACTCACAATATAACAAATCCCATTCAACACTTTCAGTTATTAACTTGAATTATTGACCTCAGGGTTGAAATGTAAACAAAACAGCAATGTTTTGCATTAAAGGGGTCATATGATGCGATTTCAATTTTTTCTTTCTCTTATTACAAATAGCCACCGGGTGCCATCCAAACTCCATTGAATTTTTTAATGCATTTTTTTAATCACAAATGTATGAATTTCCCTCTCAATATTACTTGTATCACAAAACATGGTTTCCAAATATGGAATCTTGAGACTCAGACCTTTCCAACGATATGTATTTTGTCAAGATTATAAAAAGTTTTGATTCTAAAAGACCGTAATACTTTTGGAATATGACACCTCCCACTATTAAACAAAACAGCAATGTTTTGCATTAAAGGGGTCATATGATGCGATTTAAATTTTTTTCTTTCTCTTTGGAGTGTTACAAGCTCTTGGTGCGTAAAGAAGATCTGTAAAGTTGCAAAGACTAAAGTCTCAAATCCAAAGAGATATTCTTTATAAAAGTTAAGAGTCAGCCATGCCTACCTAAAACGCCTCGTTCTAACACGCCCCCACATATCTACATCACTATGTGGGAAGATTTGCATAACACCGCTCAAATGTTCACGCAAAGAAAGAAGACGTAACTTTTATTCTCGCTGTAGTATTGTTGTTGCCGCCGCCATGTCGTGAAGGCACTGTGTGATTCGTTGTGAAAGCGAAACTACTTTGTTTGGCCTTCCAAAAGAGGACGATATTTGCTTCGTCATGCCTGGAGCTGATCCGTGCTGGTCGCTGAGGAAATACTATAACTTTGCGCTGTGGATCGCCGGATCGGCTTTCACCGTGGACGAAGCGGAGTCCAGCCCGGGGTCGTCACATGTGGTTGCTGCAAGCCCTCCGGACGCTCCTTTGTCGAATCCGCCGCCTCTGCTCACTCTATCCCTCCAGCCGTTCCTCACTCCCCGGCCTCTGCTCACTCTAGGCCGCCGCATGTGACACAGTGTTTCGTTGTGAAAGCGAAACTACTTTGTTTGGCCTTCCAAAAATGGACATGACTAGAAATCAGTGGTTAAGTTGTATTTACAACACTGTTCCAGAACACTTCAACCCAAATATTCAGATGTGTGCAGCACATTTTATGGAGGACTGTTTACTGATCCTGGGAGAGTA